CTTAGTTATATAAGTCGCGATGTTATTTCAAAGTTTCTCAATTCGTCGAATTGTCGCCCGAGTTCGCTCATTGCCATATCGCGGACGTGCCCGGGAGTTATTTAAATTAACCGAAGATTACAGGCACTCGTGTCGGCGGCGCATTACGAGTCCCTTTAAGCGCGGTTACACGCTCTGAAATTTATATCGTTGGGCAATAAATCATTCGCAGGTACACAGAGCGAGAGATCGACGATCGATGGTTAAACATTGCATTTACCGATCGACAAGCGCGAAGGAATTCCAAAGTACGCAACAACGTCTAAAGTGCAGACCGGGGAACCATTATTTCCCTCGTTATCTCGTTTCATACGACGAAACGCTTTCAAATCGAACCGATGCCGCAACCTTCCCTCGCGAAGTTCATCGATTTCATCGAGGAAATTCCACGACAATCGGCGCAACCAGCCGATAGTCAAGTCCGAGGATTGCCAAATCCCACCTTCCAGCGAGCATTTGTAGAAAGTAAGTTCCCTAAGTATTTTAACGATCGATCCGATCGCTGTAAGGCACCGACTCCTTAAATCTATCAACATCATACACCGCGAGTCTGGGAGAAAAAGGTTTCCAAGGTTCTGAAATGTGGAAACATCTCGAGGGAAAATCGGCGATATTGATGAAACTTTGGTGTACGGTTAGCACTCGAAAAAATATTGGACACGTTTTCGTTTTTTATTGCCAATCGTTCACATTGAAGGGCTAAAAATCGCTCGCAAAGATGAGGGTAATATACACTTTTGTGAAAGTACTAAAAGTACTAAATTCGTCGATTTTCACCCGTTCGCCGCGGATGACTATAGACATAAAAAAATACGTGTCGAATATTTTTTCGAGAGCTGCTATACACTAAAGTTTCATCAAAATCGGTGATTGTCACTTGCAGATGTTCCCTCGCAACTCCCAAATTTCGCGACGTTCGTCCTTTCGTGTTTCATACAACACAAATCGTAACTATCTTGGTTGATCTTGATCAGAGGCAAAGACGAGACGCGTCAATAAAAGTGCCATTTTATCAGTGAAACTTTGCACTTTCACAATACCCAATACTTCCCAACAGTTCCAATCACCCGCACTCTCCGCGTACCACTCGAAGATTCAACAATTCTCACGTTCAAGGGGAACGTTCCCAGAAGTGGCGTAACGCAATCGTCCGGGAAGAGGAACGGACGCAAGGCGGCGACCAAAGAGGAAAGGGAACCAGCAGAAGAAGAAGAAGGAGGAGAAGGAAGAAAGAGGAGGATGAGGAGGAGGCAGGGAACAAATTATATAAAAGGACCACACACGGTGCACAAGAGGGGGCAAAAGGAGGCTCGGACTGCGCGGGCATGTGGTACAGGCGAAATATATACGACTTCTCCGTGACTATGCCCGGGGATTTACCTTACGTCCAGCGTTTGAATCGCTCGTTTAGGATGAAAAGGATCGGTGGCTCGACAGCTCTGCACCACGTGGGTGGTGCGAGCGCCGCGAGAGCCCGGAAGGATCTCACGGGTCTCCCCCCTTTTAAGGATCCGCGGAGATTTAATGCGCCTCGCGCCACTCTGGCAAATCGTCCGGCCTGCAAACCCGTTTAAATCGGGGAAAACCTGGGTCGAGGATTGAGACCTCAGATTTAACGGGTCTCGTATGTTTTCGAGAGAGAAAAGGGGAGAATTTGCTGCTGTATATGTTTGAACGAATCGCGTTTACGACTGTGGGAAACCACGTCACTCGACGGCTGTGTACCTTCGGGAGGTTTTGCTTTAGGGGTTATAGCGCCTGCTCGTCTTACGATTCTAAGGATTCGTAAGGATTCAGGGATTGAACGTTACGGGCGGTGGACGAGGGAGAAGAGAACGATGTAGGTGGAGTCGAATTGGTAGTTTTGGGGAGAAGGTGTAAAACATCATAGTTCGTAATTACATAAAATGCTAGATAAAATTTTGAGATTAATATACAGTGCTGGCTGTGGAAGAACGTTCAGAAGGAAATTGGAAATTTAAAGAGATTTTTAACAAATTGTTCATTAATGTTATATACAAATTTAAGACTAATTGCTAGCTACGCAAGAACGTTCAGAAGAAGGTTGGAAATTTAAAGAGATTTTTAACAAATTTTCTTAAACGCCATGTAAAAATTTGAGACTACTATGAATTGCTAGCCTGCGCATGAATATTCAGAAGAAAGTTGCAAACTTGAATTTAACTCGTTACTCAAATCTCCCAAATAGAAGTAAATCACTCCTTATCTCATTCAACATCGGTGTGAATTGATAAATAATCATACAGTCTCGTGTTACCGTTCCATAAACGTATCTATAAAATATTATTTCTAAACAAAAATCCCACAGCAATCTTGTCGCACTACTTTATTTCATCATTTCAACCATACGAAAAAGCTACACCCAAGAACTCGCTATTCCGAGCAATTCGTGGAGTGACATTGAGCGTCGAGTAATTCGGAACAGGCTATATCTCCTTCGAATCCAGACGAACGACTGTTACGAACATTCTGCACGCCTTTCAACGACTTCCACTTACCGGTATAACTCGTAGAACACATTGCTACGTAGTACGTACGGTATAATCTTCGATTGCAACGAACAGGAGCAAAATGTATCGAGAAAGCGAAAGAGATCTGGGCGATCGGTCGATAAATCGATCCAGCAACATCGTCGTCGTCGTCGTCGTGGTCCCCCACGAAAACGCAATTACGGTCGCGTGCGGAATTTCTCTTCCGGCCAATATTTCAGCTCGCATCCCCGCGGCTGCATTGTGCATACATTATCGCGCACAAAGTCACGCGTACCGCATGAATAATAATCGCCGCCGCGTTGGTCTGATTATAGCGTCGATTTCCGCCACGGCGCGCTTCAAAACCGGCGAGACACACATGCTCGCGCCGCGGTAATAAAACTTGGACGACGAGGCCTCGGGAAAATCGAGACAGGACGTTTCACGGACGTTCTCTCGCTCGCTGTGTACGTGTATCCGTCGTTTTCTTCCTGCCGTGCAGAAGAAAACAGAAAAACGGAGAGCAACGAGGAGAGACCAGTCGATGAACTTGGTAATTGCTGTAATCTGTCCGTATGTTGACAAATCTCTGTTTCTTTTATTGGCGACAGATCCACGGAGAGAGATCTGAATTTAGCCTATTTGCGAGGAATGCACGAAGATTGTACGGTGAATTTTATTATTACTATTTTACTGGCAGTCGGTGTTTTTGCGGGGAGTTTCAGAAACCGAGCACCGAGTCGTGCCAAATTGTAGAAGAAATCGAACGAACGTTTCGTCCTACGAGAAAAGCGTAAATTTCGGAAGGAGTCTGAAAAGAAATTAAAAAGTTTACGTTCAAATATTTCATTACACACACATTCTTATCACTTTGATCTACTTTTCTGCGTATTTCATTCGAGCCCTGGAGCCAGAGTTACTCCTGTTCGCCTTCCGAAAGATTGAGTAAAAATTACTCACCAACGTGAGTGTTACATTGTAAC